GGTTAAGCATCTGCCTTCGGCTCAGGTCATGATCCCAGGGTCCTGGGATCGAGCCCCACATCGGGCTCTGTGCTCAGCAAGGAGCCTGCTTCTCCCTCTCCCTCTGCCTGCCTGTCTGCCTACTTGTGATCTCTCTCTCTCTCTCTCTGTCAAATAAATAAATAAAATCTTAAAAAAAAAAAAAAAGAATGCCAGCGCAAGGACGAAGGGCACCCGTCGCTCGCCTCCGCCCTTGGCCAGCCACCACCTCTCTCCAGCCACCACCCCCCAACCCCCGCGCGCCGTTCGCTCCGTGGCTCCGGTTCCTCAATCCGGGCTCCGGGTCTTCGCTGACGCTTCGTCACTCGGGAGACGCGGCGAGCGGCTTGCGGTTGCCTTGGGAACCTCGGGGCGGCCGAGGCGCGCCACGCACGACTCGGAGCGCAGGGCGCTGGGCCTGCGCCGCGCTCGGAGAGTGGTCTTTGGTGTCTCAGAAAGACACCTGTCGCCAGCGGATCGTCGCAAGGTTTGTTATGTTTTTCTTTTTTGTGTAATTGAGGTGTAACTTACAAACTGTAATACATCTTAAGAGTATACAGCTCGATGGATTTTTACAAATGCATAAAACCCGTGTAATCACCACTCGAGCAAGATACAGAACACTTCTAACGCCCCAGAAGGCTTCCTCGGGCCCAGAGGTTATTTGTAATTGTCTTTTTTTTTTGCACTTCTGGAATAAACCGGCGAGGGAGTGATCGCCTTCTGAGAACACAGAATTTTTGTGTTTTCTCCTGGCTCTGCTTTGCGGGCCCTCTTTGGGCCTCGGTGTCCAGTAAAGGGGAGCAAGGGACTGGCATTTGATGAGTGGTTTACTCCTTGCAAAGCGCTTTAGGTACCTAGCTAACTTCGATTCTGATAACTAACCTATGAAGTCAGTACTTGGTTTACACCCAGATTACCCATGAGAACAGTATGACTTGAAAAGATAAAACGAATTGCCCAAATTCCGACAGCTCATCAGTAAGTGGTGAAACTTGAGACTTGAACAAAGGTCTGTCTAACCTTGACGTTCATCCTTCCTCCCTCCCCTCTCTCCCCCCGCCCCGTTTTCCCATCTCTTAAAGAGCTGTACAAATAAAATGCGCTGGGAGAGTGGGTTGTATCATATTTCTGTGCCTTGACACACGTGGTTGCTTCTATTTGGGACTCCTACTCTCTTCTCCCAGGTTTTGTCCTTCAGGCAAGCTCCTACTCATCCTTCAAATCCCACTGGGGCATCGTTTGAAGACTTCCTAACTGCAACCCTCCTCTCAACTCTCTGCCAACAAGGGTAATTACTCTCCATCTGTGCTATATTTAACGCATGCACGGACACGGCCTCCTCCCACAGTGCCCCAAGGACTCCTTGAGGCTGCCTCTAGGTTCAACCTGTAAGGCACCAGCACACAGCTGGTCTTCTACAAATGTGCTTGGAACTGAAAGTGGAGGAGAGGTTTTGGAACGTTGGCTTCCCGCTGTGTAAAAATTGGACTGTACTTGTCCTGCTGCATGTCACTCAAAAGATATTGGGGAAGGGGGTGCTTCCAGAACACCTGGGGCAGAACCGCAGGAAGAGAAAGGCTGCCCTCAGCCTAGGTTAGGGAATGGACTTGACCGTGCCTCTGGAGTGGGACCTCGGGCTGCCTGGGAAGAGTTCTTTCCTTCCATAGGCGAGCATCCACTCGTGGATGCGTGGATGCCAAAGGAAGCCATAGCGGCCCCTAGTGACCTGCAGGGAGTCCCAGGAGCTGGGGCCCAGAGCTCCCCATTCTTTCCAGGGCCCTGCCCAGCAAAAGGCAGCCAATTAAGTGGTGGGGTATCCTCAGGATAGTGGTTTTCACTTTACATTCGCACAGAATTCGAGGCAGTTGGCATGATATTCACTAGGGCGGTGAAGTATAACAAAGAGCTAGGACCAGGAAGGAAAAGAGATCATTGTACACATTTTTTTTTCTATAATTGAGTTACTCCCCCATTCTCTCTCTCCTTTGACTTTGAATGTACAATTTGCTTTGTTAATGGGGAAAAAAGAACCCTTGCCCTTTGAGCTGAAGGAAATTTCCCTCTTGGCTTCCCCCCAGCTGCATTTCTACAGCAGACACATTCGGGGTGTCAGGAAAGTGAGGCTCACGGGGATGAGGGATGTGCCCAGAACCACCCAGCATCAGGGACAGAGAGTGTCTGATGGTGCAGGTGGCCGAAGTGCTGGCCCGGGCAAGGGCCGAGTATTTTAAATGAGCTCATGATTTTCCCTCTTCTCCACAAGGAGCTTTGAAAAATGCTCCACATTAAAGATAGGGTGGGTATGAAAAAGGCAGGGCTCATTACTAAGAACAGAGTGGTAGAACTTTGGGGAGAGGGGTCTATGTGACCTGGGGGAGCAAGAGACAAGTTTGAGCCTCAGTTTCCTCATCTGTAAGATGGGGGTGATGATGGGGCACCTGGGTGGCTCAGTCAGTTAAGTGGCCAACTCTTGATTTTGGCCCACGTCATGGTCTCAGGGTTATGAGATTGAGCCCCAAGTGGGGCTCTGTGTTCAGCGTGGGGACTGCTTGAGATTTTCTCTCCATCTTCCTCTGCGCCTCCCACTGCTTGTGGACGCGGTCTATCTAAAATAAATAAATAAATAAATAAATAAATCTTTAACATGGAGGTGATGAGCTCTCTGTCTTGAGACAGGGAGTATTGGTTTCCTGGGGAGACTGGAAAGACTATCTGCAAGGAGGACCAAGTCACCAGTTAGCAATAATTTCCCCTTCATTATCCCCATTAACGGATGGGAAAGCTGAAGCCCAAGGAGAGGACATGGCAGGCTCAAGATCTTGGTCCTGGGGCCACCCAGCCTGGGTGCTGTCCCTTCCACCATCATGGTTCGCAGACCTTCCCTGGCCTCGGTCAGTTCTCCCGGGGTTGGGGGGTGGGGGGAGGGCTGGAGAAAGAGAGGGAAGAGGAGAATTCTAGCCTTGTTCCAGCCCCCGCAGCAGTTGGGACTGCTTCTCAGGAGGACAGATGTTTCACCAAATGGCAAATGCACGTGCTTTTCCCTGGCTTGGGGAGGAGGTGGGTGCTGAGGAGATGCCAGCCGGTAGGGCCCAGAACCGTAGCCACACCTGAGGGGTTTAAATAGCCACCGCCTTCTCTGGGTGATGCTGGAAGAGAGGCATCTGAGCAGGACTGGCCCGGGGGAGGGGGGGGGAGGGAACAGAGCAGCCCATTCAGAATCTGTCACAGCCCCGAAATGAGTGCCTGGCTCCTCCTCCCAGAGAAACTTGGCCCATGCACCTCACCTCCCTGGACCTCCGTCGCTGTCACCTACAAAGTGAGGACTTAAAGCCTACTGCGGAGGGGGCCTGTCGAGGTTGAATGGAGAGAACTCACTTACGTGCCTGACCCATGCATGGCACCCAGTCAGTGCTCAATACCTGATGGCTGTTGTCATCCCAACCTCCCTGCCAGGGCAGGAGTCCCCACTGCAGCATCTTTGACAAATGGGCACCCACCCCCTGCTCACCAACCTCTGGTGACAGAGAGTTCATCATCTCCCATGATGACCCACAGTGTAATTATTAATTTATTTGCATAAACCCTGGGGGTGCCTGGCTGGCTCAGTCAGAAGAGCATGCAACTCTTAATCTTGGGGTCATGAGTTCGAGCCCACTTTAAAATAAAATCTTAAAAAAACCCCACACTAATTGCATAAACCCTGGAGTCAGACAGTGTGTTGGAATCTAGGCTCCACTACTTAAGAGTCTGTGTGACTTAACCTCTCGGCGCCTCAGTTTCCCCAGTGTAAAATGGGAATAATAGCGGTAGTATCATTTAGATCAGTGCCTCTCAAACTTCCATGTGCCCATGAATCAGCCGGCGATCCTCTTTAACCGCAGATTCAGAGTCAGTGGGTCTGAGGTGGGGCTCGAGATTCTGCCTCCCCAGCCCGTGATGCAGATGCTGCTAGCCCTTGGACCACGTTGAGAGTCTCAGAGGACTGCCTTGCCCTGGGAGTCATGGTGAGGGAGCCATGGAAGGGTGATGAGTCGGAGAGTGACAGATTCCATCATAGCAAAGCCTCTCTGGCTGTGGTGGGGATGGAGGTGGGAGGAGGCCAGTGTTTAGGGAGAGATGAAGGGCCTACTGGGGTCAAAAAGAGGGTGGTAATAAAGGCCCTTAGCTTATGCGGTCCACTCTTACAGATGCAGAGACCAAGGCCCAGAGAGGGTGGGTGGACCTGCTTAGGCCACACAGCACTGGGAGGACTCCTGCCCGCTGGTGGTCCTTCGCCCTTCCCCCTTCCTCCCACCTTGGTGGCCAACAGCCCACGGCCCTCTGGAGTCTCCTGGCCTGTGTTCCTGTTGATCATCTTGTCATACCAAGAAGAGGAAAACACTAGGGGGGCCCTGGATCTCCCTGACAGACATCTTTCGTACAGTAACCCATTCTACAGATGAATCGACTGAGGCCAAGACAGAAGGCGCACAGCGGGGAGGCTGGACCTGAGGTCAGCCTGACTCCAAACTTGAGGGCCATGACTTACCCCCTTCACCTCCTACTGGTCAGGGCAGAACAAGGTGGCTCTCCCAGGGGACAGGTGAGAGGGCCAGGTATCCGGCTCCAAGGAAGGAGGAGTTGAACCCCAGATTGATGGTGACAGGGGCAATGGGTGACATTTACGGGGTACTTCCAGCCCCCGAGGCTTCTGCCAAGCGCTAGCCCGCGGAACCCCACTCCACCCTGGCGTCCGCCTTGTTCACCGGGTCCAGATGAGCGGACTGAGGCGGCGGGACTGGGCGCGGCAGCTGGCCCGAGGTGGCGTGCGGGAGGCCCCGGGGGCTGCGGGGGGGGGCGGTGGCAGAGGCCGCGGCCCGAGCCCCCCCCCCCGCCCGGCTCGCCCGGCAGCCCCGCCCCCGGCCCGAGGCGCTGGGCCGGGCGGGAGGCGGGATCTCGGGCGGCGGCGCTTCCTGGCTCTCCCGGCTCGGCGGGCGGCCCGGCCACGTCACCGCCCGGCCCCGAGTGCGCTGGCGGAGCGGCGGCGGGCGGGGAGCGCGGGGCTCGGAGCGCGGGCAGCGGCGCGCGGGACCCAGAGCCGGGCCGGGGACGTGGCAGCCGCCTCGCCCGCCGCAAAGTTTCCCGGGAGTTGGCGGCGCGCGGTGCCGGGCCGTCGGGGGCACCATGAACGTGTTCCGGATCCTCGGCGACCTGAGCCACCTCCTGGCCATGATCTTGCTCCTGGGGAAGATCTGGAGGTCCAAGTGCTGCTCGGGTGAGGGTCGCCCCGGGCGGCGGGGGTGGGGGTGGGGGGTGGGGGGTGCCGGGGGCGGGCCGGGGCCAGCCGATGCCGCCTGCCTGCAGGGTGAGGACTCCGGCTTGGCGGTGCTTGAAACTCTTTTTGCACAGCTCAGCTTCCAAAGAAACTTTCAAGTTGTACTTGGTCAAAGAGCGGGCCCGTGGAGATGAGGGACGGAGGGTGGGCTTGTGCCTCCACTCACCCCCGCGCCGTCCCTGCCTCGGCACCGCCACGGCTCGTGGGAAGAGGACAGAGATAAGGAGGAGGCGACATCCTCTTGCTCCTGCCAGTCCCTCCCTTCACTCCGCAGCAGGCGAGGCCTCCGGCTGCGGTGGGATCGAGGGGATCGGGGGTTGGGCGGGGGGGGGGGGGGGGGGGGGGGGGAGTTATGCACACAGGAAGTAGCCTGCAATTCCCGGGGCCTTCTCTTTCCTTCCCCCACCACTCTCCCCTGCCCCCTCCAGACTGCCCCTCGGGCTGGGCCCTCTTCCCTCCCCCGCCTGCGAGCGCACAGGCGGCCGTGATGTGGCAGGAGGGACACCAGGCCCGGCCCCGGTGAGCCCGGAGCTGCCCCGGAGCCGAAGCCCAGGGATGGCAGGAGAGGTCCCAGCAGTGTGGAAGCCCTGCTGGGGGTTTGGAGAAGTTTCACAGCGGGACGGGTGGTAGCCAAAGAGACTCAGTGCATTAAGAGGCTGCTCAAGCCTCCTGCAGCCATCTTTGTCCGCGGGTGTCCCGGAGGCACCCACCCTGGGCTAGGCACGGGGCTGAGGGGATACAGAGATGAGTGCAGGCTGGGCAGGGGGCCAAGGAGGCAGAGAGCAGACCCCTGAAGGCTTCATGGAGGCAGCAGCTCTGTGCTGGGTCCCGGAGGACGGGCAGAGTGTCGCCCAGGAAGGGTGTGCTGTGTGGAGGACACTGGGGGTACAAAAGCCCACAGGTCGCAGAGGGCAGGGAATGTCCCAGGGACAGCGAGCAGCCCGATTTGGGGGTGGTCCGTAAGGGAGATGAGTGGCAGGGGGGCTGGGGGTCCAAATGTGAAGGGGCCTTGTGTTTCAGGCTAGGGCGTCGGGACTGGGGAGTGATGGAAGTTTGGAGAACAGGGGAGGGGGCCCCGGAAGGGACCTGAAGCAGGTCACTCTGAAAGCTGTGTGGACCCACCGAGAGAGGGGGCAGAGAGCAGCGGGGGCGGGGGGCGTTGGTAAGGGGTGGGGTGGGGTGCTCGGGTGAGAGGCCTTGCAGAGGGAGTGGTTCTGGACCTGCAGGCCATTCCAGTTTTCGGTCTCTGGAGAGATAGGCACTCACAGCCCCTCAGATTCCCACTCAGGGAAGTGAGGCAGGAGCCCCGGGAGGGGCTCCCAGCTCCGGTGAGGGGAGGGATCTAGCTCGGACGTGTCCCTGCTCTTCCGCGGAGGGCCCTGAGCGGGATGAGCAACCATGACCAGGAGGGGGCGCTGTTCCCCAACCCACTCTACCAGCACGGCCCTAGGCCCGCCGGACATAACTGGGAAAGCAGGGACAGAGCCCCCGGCCTGGGGGAGCGGACTTTCTAGCAGTGGGAAACTGCCAACAAGCAACAGTCGGAGCAACCAAGTAAATGATAGGTTTGTTAGACGTGCTAAGTGCTGTGGAAAAAGGAAAAGGGCAGCTGGGTGCTGGATCCTGTGTGTGTGTGGAGGGGGGTTGGCATAGGCCTGGTTGGGATCTGAAGAGGTGAGGTGCCTGGATGCCAGCCCTGTCCACCCGGAGATGCGGAGCCTGGTGAGACCCTCCCTGACCACTCCTTGCCCTCCCCCCGCCCCCCACCAAGGTAGGACACTGGGGCTTAGTTCTTACTCAGCCACTGACTCACCGTGTGACCTCGAACCTCAGTTTCCCCATCTGTGAAATGGAGGGAGGGCTGTAGTGGGTCCCATATGTGCTCAGTGGACCCCTGAGGGACTCTGGCTGGGTACTGGCTCATGTTCTCTTCTGTGTCCTGGGTCTCTGTGCATGGCTTGCTCTGGTGGAAACTTTTCACTGCTTTCAAGAGTGTGAAAACTTTTGTGCTCAAGATTGCCAGAGCTCCCAAGCACTAAGGAAAATGTGAGCAAAGCCCAGGAACCTAGCAGGCTGAGGATGCAGAGAAGGGAGGGCTTGGGGAAGGCTGTGGGGGGGGGGTAGCAAATTGTCCCCTACCAGAGTCCCCTCCTGGGCCCTCCTAAATGGTGCTGAGGACCTCTCTGTGAGGCCTCTGGGAGATGGGGGAGCAGTAGGTGTAGCCCAGAGCTGGCCTCCTGGACTCCACGCCCCATGCCTGGGGTGGGCTCCCTCGCCCACAGCCAGCCTCACTGCTGCAAGTCCAAGTCCCAGACCCCCAAAGGGCACTCACGTTCTCGCCAAGTCCTCTTTAGGCTTCCGGTCAGTCCTGTCCCACCTCTGTGAGGCCGCTCCTTTCACAATGAGGAGTGTGAGGCTCAGGCCTGCCATACTACTAGGAGGCTGGCACGGCCACCCAGCACCCTCCAGAATGTTAGGGGCTTCAGTGGTATTCAACCTCAGTCTTTACAATTGTCCCCCTCCCCAAAATATCCAGCACCAGAGGAGTAGATATGGCACCGTTTAGGCGAATAAAGGAACCAGACCCTTAATCAAGTAATGTCACTTCTCGGTGCCAAAGTCCCCAGTCGATCCATTACCAATAGGCCATCGGTTGGTAAGTGGAATGGAGGGGGGTGAGCTGGCAGCAGGGAAGGACTTGGGGAGACCAGTGAGACCTCTGAGGTAGGGCGCCGGGCGGGCAAGGGGCATGGAAGTGGATGTAGTGGAGCTGGGGGGGACACGGGGGAGGGACTCAAGGATGGCTCTTGGTTTTGTGGCTTGAGGGGATGGTGGTGGCATTCTCAAAGAGGGGAGACAGGAGGAGGGGCTTGAGGGGATGGTGAGTTTGGTCAGGCTGGCCTATATAGGTCAGAACTCGGAGGAGCGTCTAGAGCTGGGGCATCCCTGGCATGTGAGATGAGATGGCACGGGGACAGGGAGAAGCCGGGGTAGCCCTCCAACAATTAGGGAGCCAGGACAGGAGCGGCCAGGGGCAGTGAGCCAGCAGTGTGGATGGTCGCAGAAGCCAGGGGAAGGATGAGGTTCTGAACAGACACTCCTCAGCTGGCTCTGGGGAGGTTGGGTGAGTGAGGACAGAGTTGGCCTTTGGATCAGAAACGCAGGTATCGCTGATGGGAATGGTTTGCTGAGGTGTCCAGACTGGTGTGGGCTTGTCTGTCGAGCAAGAGGAACAGAACGGGAGGTAGGACAGGGCTCGCCTTGCCCTGGACCCACCTCCATGACATAGCAAAAGTGGCCACGGGGGGATTCAGGAGCATGACGGCATTTAGCATTTAGATTCCTGGATTGGCTTGTGGGACACAAAAGGGGTGTGAGTGGGAAAATGGGAGAAATCTGAATAAAGCCTGGAGTTTGGTCAGCAGCGCTGTGTCAGTGGGAATGTCTTAGTTTTGGTAAATGTCCTGTGATTAGGCAAGATGTCACCGTTGGGGGAAGCTGGGTGAAGGGTGTATGGGACCGCTCTGTACTATCTTTACAGTTCTTCTGCCAATCTAAAATTAATTCAAAATAAAAAGTTAAAAAAGAGAGACCAAAGCAGGTGAGGTGGTAGCATGAAAAGTATGACCCCAGTTTTGTCAACTTGATGTGGCCACGTGTGTGCCAGCAAAGATCTGAGAGGACGCACACCGAGTCTTGGGGATTCGGGTGACCGCTGCTTTTTTATTTATAGCTATGTATTCTTTTCTTTTTACGAAGGGTAAAAATAGTTATAACTTTTATAACTAAACAAAACGTATTTTTAATTTTTAAAATTTGGAAAATAAAACTGAATGCTCCTCTGGCCCTGCTTTTTCCTCCACCCGCTCTGGTCCCCCTGCCGAATTGACACTTTGTAAAGTCCATGACTTGCTCTCCAGAAGACAGAGCTTTGGGGACCGCCAGTGGAAGTCGGGATGGAGCGAAGAGACGCCTCCACCCCCCGCCACAGCTTATCAGAGCCGGGAACTGAACCCGAGCAGGCCCATGCTGGGGCCCTGGGAGCTTGGTGTTTGTGCTCATGAGAGGAACTCAAGTGATCCAGCAGGAAGGGCTGTTTCCTGACCCTCAGCGAGGGACCGTGCGGGGACAGGGTGTTGTCACTAAGTGGGATTGGACACCCTGTGGGCCTTTTCAGCTCAGGCTCTGGGCTTCTGGAGTGTTGGTGGGCCTAGGAGTCTGTGTTCTCATTGTCTCTCATCCTCCTTTGGCCACAGGCATCTCTGGGAAGAGCCAGATCCTTTTCGCTCTCGTCTTCACCACCAGGTACCTGGACCTGTTCACCAACTTCATCTCCATCTACAACACAGTCATGAAGGTGAGGGGGTGGGTGGCCATGGTGGCGGGGGCTGCTGAGCCCGACAGACCCAGATAGTATGCTTGCAAACTCAGGCGGTGGAGGCAGGCAGACCTGGGTGTGTTGTTAGCCGCTGTGGGACCTGGGCTCAGGCGAGGCCTCGGGCCTCTGTGTACCTCCCTTTCCCCATCTGCAAAATGAGGATAATAATAGTACTCACCTCAGAGGGCTTGTGGTGGAAATTAAGTGAGGTAATACATGCAAATACACAATAGCCATCATATATATATATTTTAAGATTTATTTATTTTGAGAGAGAGAGACAGAGTGCGTGTGGGGGAGGACAGAGGGAGGGGCAGAGGGAGAGAATCTCAAGCAGACTCCCCGCTGAGTGCAGAGCCCAAGGTAGGGCTCGGGCTCCATCTCAGTCTCACGGCCCTGAGATCATGACTGAGCTGAAACCAGGAGTTAGACGCTTAACCGACTGAGCCACCCAGGTGCCCAATAGCCATCATATATTAAACAGTCGGCAAAGGTTAGCTATTATAATGGTTAAAAAATAAGCAAGAAAATCAAACATGAACTCTGAGCTTTCAGAGAGATTATCCATCCGACATCCATTTGACAACTATTTATTGAGCACCTACTATGAGCCAGGAACTTGAAGAAGACATAAGAGGCTCCTATTCTTTTTTTTTTTTTAAAGATTTTATTTATTTATTTGACAGAGAGAGAGAGAGACAGCGAGAGAGGGAACACAAGCAGGGGGAGTGGGAGAGGGAGAAGCGGGCTTCCCGCTGCCGAGCAGGGAGCCCGATGCGGGGCTCGATCCCAGGACCCTGGGATCACAACCTGAGCCAAAGGCAGACGCTTAACACCCAGGCGCCCCAAGAGGCTCCTATTCTCGTGGAAACTATATTCTAAATGGGGAGACAAATAATAAAACAAGCAAGAAAATCTTTGGCTAGGGATGAGCCTATGCAAATCATTAAAATAGGGTGATGACGTTTCCTTTAATTAAAAAAAGTTTGTTTGTTTGTTTAAAGTAGTCTGGGCATGGAGCCTGGGGTTTGTTTTTGTTTTGTTTTGTTTTGTTTTTATTTGAGAGAGAATGAGATAGAGAGAGAGCATGAGAGGGGGGAGGGTCAGAGGGAGAAGCAGACTCCCCGCCAAGCAGGGAGCCCGATGCGGCGGGACTCGATCCCGGAACTCCAGGATCATGACCTGAGCCGAAGGCAGTCGCTCAACCAACTGAGCCACCCAGGTGTCCCGGAGCCTGGGGTTTGAACTCCCGACCCTGAGATCAAGACCTGAACTGAAAAGTCAGATGCTTAACCAACTAAGCCACCCAGGCGCCCCATAAAAAAAAAATCTTAAAAACTGGGTGATGTGATAGAGAACGAATGGGAAGCTGTTTAGGGAGTATGACCAGGAAGGGCCTCTCTGAAGAGGTGACATAAATGTCAAGGTCTGTGTGACACAAGGAACCAGCCATGGGCTGATCAGCGGACAGCATTCCCAGCAGAAGGAATAGCTGGTGCAAAGACCACCAGGACGGAAACAAGCTTGCTGTATTCACAGGACAGGCGGGAGCTCAGCAGGCCAGGGCTGCCCGATGGAGGTGGGGCTGCCATCAGAAGGCTGGGGGGGGCGGATGGCGCAGGTCCACAGTTTGGACTTCGTTTTGTGATAGGAAGCTGTTGCTCTGAAGCACGGCCCTGTTTTGTAGGAGAAACTGAGCATCTCTTGGTTCCACTCTGATGTCTTAGGCTCTGGGCCATAACCATTAGAGGTTATGTTGGGGTGAGGCATTTTCTGAGCTTTTAATCAGCCATCATAGCTCTTTTTTTTTTTTTTTAAAAGCTCTACACCCAGGGCGCCTGGGTGGCTCAGTTGGTTAAGCGACTGCCTTCGGCTCAGGTCATGATCCTGGAGTCCCGGGATCGAGTCCCGCATCGGGCTCCCTGCTCGGCAGGGAGTCTGCTTCTCCCTCTCCCACTCCCCCCCGTTTGTGTTCCCTCTCTCGCTGTGTCTTTCTCTGTCAAATAAATAAATAAAATCTTTTAAAAAAATAAAAAATAAAAAAAAATAAAAGCTCTACACCCAACGTGGGGCTTGAACTCACGACCCCAAGATCAAGAGTCACATGCTCCATTGACTGAGGCAGCCAGGTGCCCCTCAGCCATCCAAACTCTTTAAGGCAACATGGGTTAGTGAAAGGACCACAGGTTTCAGAGTCAGTGAAGTGGAATGTTACTGCTTGGATGCTGGTAACAGAGACTTAAAATAAAAGTTATTTTAGGGGCACCTGGGTGGCTCAGTCGGTTAAGTGTTCAGCTCTTGGTTTCGGCTCTGGTCATGATCTCAGGGGTGAGATTGAGCCCCGTGTTGGGCTCCGTGCTCAGCTCAGAGTCTGCTTGATTCTCTTTCCCTCTGTCTCTGCCCCTCCCACTCGTGCTCTCTCTTTAAAATAAAGAAATATTTTTAAAAAATAGTTAGTTTAATAAGATAAAGGTTTATTTTTACCTTACTCATAACATGGAATCTGGAGGTGGGCTGTCCAGGGCTGCGATGGCAACTCCTTTTAACTTTCTGCTCCATCATTTTAGTGTGACCAGGACTCACAGATGTGTGCCCCGTGCAGTTGCTCAGAAGGGCCCCACGCTTGGTTTAATGCTTTGCTATTGCCATCTTGAAATTCAGTTCTTTAAGAGGCCCTGCAAATTATACAGAGTCCAGATGTGACATCTACCCTCAAGGTTGCCTCAGGCTCACAAAATGGATGCTAGAACTCCTTACCATCACATCACATTCTGGGCAGGAAGGAGGAAGAAGGGGAGAGAGCCATAGCGTGTCTGCCAGCTGGCTAAGCCCTTTGGTAAAGAGCCTTTTCCAAACTGTACCCAGTGACTTTCACCTGCACATTACTGACCATCCTTATCTGCGGAGGAGGTTGGGAAGTGTAGTTTTTAAGTTGGGCACATCATCTAATAGTTCCGTTTTTAAGGAAGAAAGGCTATGTGAGGGGAATTCTACCTATGTTGCAGGACTATTGTGAAGACTATATGAGAAAGTATATGTAAAGTGCCTAGCACGCAGAAGATACTTAACCAAGGCAGGTTCTCTTTCCCCTCCATACCAGAGATGTGCCTTTCGGAATCCAGGGATCTTGTTGGAATGGATGATGTTATCTGTGGGGTGTTGAACTGTGTGAACTTCAGTCTGAGGTCCTAAAATCATGGTCTTTACTTAAAGTCAACACAGAAATAGCAAACACCACCTACTTAGTTCATTCCTCTGCCCAAGGGTCTGACTTGGATAGCCCTGGGAGGGACTGCAGACCTAGCGCTTGGCATGGCTGAATGAGTTGTAGGAACCTCAGGCCAGTTTCTACATTTGTGAAGTGAGGAAGTGATCACCACTTCATTGATTCATTCATTCATTCTGACATGTTTTGTGCCGGGCCCTGAGTTAGGGGCTGGGGATTTGGAGGTGGACATGAAGTCAGGACCCTCTTACAGAAATCCCCTCCCACAGGGGAAAGAGACTGGTACACAGACATTTACAGAACATGTGATCATGGGGGGCAGTGAATGGGTTCCCATGGAGCTATGGTGACGAAAGTGTATTTGCCTCATTCTGGTGAGAAACTAATCTGAGTTTTGAAGTACAAATAGGAGTTCTCTAGGCCAGTGAGTTCCTGGACCGGCAGCATCAGCATCACATAGGAACTTGCTAGAAATGCAGATCTTCAAGTCTACTTAGACCTACTGAGTCAGCAGTAACTCTGGGGGCGGGGGAGAAAAGCGGCCATTTATGTGATTCTGATGCACACACAAATTTGAGAACCTCTGGCAAACCATAAAACCATCACATGCTGGAGGGCAGCTACTGTGATTAGAAAAAGAGAGCTTTTCTGAAGGAGCAAGGATCGGCTGATTCAAAGGGTGTCAGTCCTGGTGCAAGAATGCTCACAAGTCACTGAGGCAGATCCAGGAATTCGAGTTAAGAGCCCTGGGATTCCAGCCACTGCTAAATTCCCGGACAGAGACCAACTCTGGTCTTCTCCCTAACGCTCTGCAGTAAGGAAAGGCCTGGGCACCTTTGAGTGTTCATAGTTGGTGCCGTCCGTCCTCATTAGAAGCATGGAGTTACTTAACAAAAGGGTCATTAGCTTCAGAATCTAGGCCAATGACTCAAGAGAAATTGCACACGCATTTCACTTTGTCCACCTTGGGGCAGCGCTCTAGCCCCTTATTTGGTAAGTCCCAACTGAGGGTGGCTTGGAAGCCCAGCAAGTAGGTTGGAAAATGACTTCATTGATTCCCATGTGTTTCTTTCCCTTGTTAGGTGGTTTTTCTCCTCTCTGCCTATGTCACAGTGTACATGATCTATGGGAAATTTCGGAAGACCTTTGACAGTGAGAATGACACATTCCGCCTGGAGTTTCTTCTGGTCCCCGTCATTGGTCTCTCCTTCCTTGAGAACTACAGTTTTACTCCCCTGGAGGTAAGAGAAGGGACCCAAATAGTCCTTATGTTAACAAAGCAGGCATCACAGCACCGCTTACGGCTGAGACCTTCTGTCCCCCAGGTGGCCGGTTACTAGAGCGCAGTCCAGGCTGTGATTGCAGCGCAGGAGGTCTGGGCTGCAGCCCAAGAATCTGGGGGCCCGCAAACCTAGCAGCAAGTTCTGATGCTCGCGTTCAAGGACTGCATTTTGAGAAACTGTGGCTTTAATTAAGAGGAGTTTAGACAATAAAGTTCCCCAACAATTAAAAATTATGTTCTAGGGGCGGCTGGGTGGCTCAGTTGGTTAAGCGACTGCCTTCGGCTCAGGTCATGATCCTGGAGTCCCTGGATCGAGTCCCGCATCAGGCTCCCTGCTCGGCGGGGAGTCTGCTTCTCCCTCTGACCCTCCCCCCTCTCATGTGCTCTCTCTCATTCTCTCTCTCTCAAATAAATAAAATCTTAAAAAAAAAAAAAATTATGTTCTAAAGAAATGTTCATGTGATGTTAAAAAAAGCACTTTGCTTCAATCTTTTAGAAATATCTTGTATTTACAGAGGGGTGGAATGATACACTGATTATTTCAGAAACTTTTTTTTTTTGCTGCACTAGATTATTCCAGTAATTACGTCCTTTTAAAGAGATGGGCCCCCCTTCATGGTCTTGATCCGCCTCTTCTAGCCACTTACCTCTTTGGTTCAGGTCCTCTGGACTTTCTCCATCTACCTGGAATCAGTGGCCATCCTGCCCCAGCTCTTCATGATCAGTAAAACTGGAGAGGCGGAGACCATTACTACTCACTACCTGTTCTTTCTTGGGCTGTACCGGGCACTCTACCTGGCTAACTGGATCAGGCGGTATCAGACTGAGAACTTCTATGACCAAATTGCAGTGGTGTCTGGAGTAGTACAAACCATCTTCTACTGTGACTTCTTCTACTTGTATGTGACCAAAGGTAGGTACCAGACAGAGCAGGGGTGCTCTGGAGGGTTGCACAAGGAGTTACCCATTCAACAGGACGGGATCTGGAAGTGAATGTATAGATACAAGTCTCTGCCCCTCCTGGTGCTTTTACTTCAGTTGATGGAAGATGAACATTTTCAGGAAACAAGTACCATGAAGAAATACAGACCAGTTAGATACTGCATGTACTAGTGCGAACACTGTGTAGAGAGAACTATGGGAGGACATTTGACAGAACACTTGGTTAGAAAAATATAGGAGTGGGGCGCCTGGGTGGCTCAGTTGGTTAAGCGACTGCCTTCAGCTCAGGTCATGATCCTGGAGTCCCTGGATCGGGTCCCGCATCGGGCTCCCTGCTTGGCAGGGAGTCTGCTTCGTCCTCTGACCCTATCCCCTCTCGTGTTCTCTCTCTCTCATTCTCTAATAAAAATCTTAAAAATATATATATATATAGGAGAAAGATTCCACAGAATAGCTTATGTAGGAGCCCTGAGAATGGAACCAGGTTGGTGTGTCAAAGGACGAAAAGGCTAGTGTGGTCAGTCTATAAAGTTGGAGAGCTCAGAGTCAAGCAAGATCGGGGTTACGGGTCTGCATTCCACCGATTGCTAAGTGCAGCCACTGGAAGGCTCAAGAAGCAGCCCAGCAGCTGCCCTGTAGAGTAAAAGGCAGCCAAGTAGGGAGACTAGGGATGGGGCAGTTGTGGTTGTTCACGAGGCCGCCTGTGTGTGCAGAGGTCACCTGTTTGGGGCAGATCTCAAAGGCACTGGACAGATGTGAAACAGAAAGGGAGGCCAAGTTTATGGCCTAAGGGAAAGTGGGATCAGTAACCAAGATGGGGAGGTGGTGTAGGAGTCTATAGTTAACCTGGGATGAAGTTTCCCCCTTGGCTTTAACAAACACCTATTATGAACTGGGAATTAGAGAAACTGCAGTTTGTAAGGGAGTCTTTTCATGGGATAAATTCTAATTTCATCTCCATCTTCTTCTAGTCCTTAAAGGAAAGAAGTTAAGTCTTCCAATGCCAATTTGAGGGCCCCAGAGATGGTTCTACACCCTAACAAGAACACTGAACAAAGTATTTGAAATGTTCTCCTGGACCACTTCTACAGGACTCGGACCAAATGTTACAATTAAAATGAGAAAAACGCTTAGTGTGGATTTCAGCAAAGCACTGATCATTCTACGTAGAAGACGTTCTCACCGATCTGTCCCTTAAATTATAGCAATAAAAAACCTAGGCCAATTACACAAGCACGGGGCCTCACGTCAACTGGAGCATCAAGGAATCTTAGCTTAACCCATGTACTATTGCTCCCAAGGTCCTAGCGTGAGCCTCATGCTAAGGAACAGTCAATCCCATCTGGAAAGAGGTCTGTGTATAAGGCAAATGTCCCCAAAGATCAGACTTCAAGTACTAGAAGCATGGTATTTAATTTTCACTTTCAAGTTTAGGGAGTGATACAGAGGTGACCTAGTATTACAGGTGTGAAGTGTTACTTCAACTTCTGTCTTCAAGCCACAAGCGAAAGCCAAATTTATCAGCTTTGGTTAGACTGAAGTAGTTTCCTTCCTCACCTTTAAAACAGATTTGGGTCTTCCTATGGCTCACAGCAGCTCCACACAGTACTTTAATCCCAGTAACCTAAGTGGGTACCGCCACCATGACGACCATTTACCAATGAGGAAACAAATAACCAAGCCTTTACCTACTAGGTGCCTGGCCTTGTTGCTTTGTGACTCCAATTTTTCCATTAAGACCAATCAATCCCACCTCCCTTTCACATTTTTAGGTGCTAGGATGATTACTCAATCAAACACCCCCAAATGTGGTCTTGAAGCAAATAAAAATTGTTAAGAAAACTACCAGTGGACTATAATCAGAGAATTTTCAAGCAATAAAAAGTTCACACCTTATTGTCAAGTGTTTTATTTATACCTACAAAAGAAAACAAGATGGTATCAAAAGGACAATTTACAAACTAAGAATAGTAACATAGCTCTTAGCATCCTGTGCCTGCTGAACATCACACATCTACAAATCTTTCAAGTCTTAACGCAACAGGAATGTGTTCAGAGACCAGCAAGAACGTGAATAGAGCACTGATCCCAAGCAAAAGCCACCAACCTTTTAGATGAGAAAAGTCCACACAATGGATTGTTAGGAATTGGGGAGAAGCAGCCCCACAGCTTAATATTGAAATCCCTTCCCTAAATGAGTTTCAACCATGACTGCGATAACAACTAGCATCACATGAGGACTCTTCTGCTCATGTCCTGAAGCAAAGGCAGAACCTGAATTATGAGTGACAGAGAAGCAGAAGAGTTACTCTAAAGCTATAAAGGAAAAACTCTGCTAAATTTCAATTGTGCTCAGACCACAATTGCTTTTGAGATTTGGAATATGCTGTTATTTTGACTTACGACATCATCCCTGGTGGAAAAAGGGAAGCAAGCAGCTGACCAAGTAACGCTTGCCCAGAGACCCTTCCCACAAAGGGATGCTTTAAGACCTGCAAGAGAGTAAGTAGGACACCCCTGTGGTGGCACCTGTTTAAAAACAAAGAAATATCTAGAATGGACTGGTCAGTGCTTAGACCAAAAAATAATTTTTTTTTTTTGGGCAGGGGGTGAGGGGGCACTTTGGTTTTAAAAGCACAGAGCAGTTTTGCCAAGTTTTCCTGTGCCTACCATCCTCCCTCAGCCTCAACTTCTCGAAGAAGGGGGAAAAAAGTACAGTTAAAGAAGAAAATGTGTGGGGGGAGGGGGAGACATGTGGAAGTTCTTACATGCGTACATTTCAGCTTCTGCTGACAACCTACCTGTATGTTGCACATTCAACCATACTTTTCAGAACCCCTCAGAAACCATCCCTTCTCTCTCCCTGAAGAATTTTAAAAGAAAAACAAAACGAAAAAAAACCTCAAGTATTTAGATATTACAAACCAGCAAGCACCCTCAGGCCTTAGCCAAAGAATGCAGTGGAGCCTTCCCCCTTTAACTACATTGTTAATGAACAATACCAATAATAGCATAAAAAATTAATAGTCCAACACTGGATACGGAAGAGGGTTCTGGGGCTGTCTGATCTCCCTGTCCTATTACAGTGAACACAAGAGCAGAAAATTCCTTCTAGGCCCATGTGCTACAGAAGTGTCAGTAAAACAGTATCACTATCAAGGGGACAAACTCACCTACCTTCAAGAAGAAGAAAAGTGAGGACTTAGGCTTTAGTCCTCTGTAACTTTTCTTAAGCACTACCTACCTGTAAAAAGCTGAGTGTAAAAGGATGCTGAAGAAAATTTGCATCCAAAAGCTGTTACAAAGCACTGCAGAGAAGAGTATGAAGAGAATTAAGAGCTTTCTTAACAGACCCCCAAAGGTTCTTTATTCAAGATCATTTGGCCAAAAGGGCTGAGTGGCTAGCAAAGAGGTGCTTTTATTCTAGCTCTACAGATACTGAGTTTAAAAAGAAAATTTGCCACTGAGTATATTCTGTTTATAATTAAAGGTGGTTTTTATACTGCAGGTGAATGCATACTTAACTGGTTATTTACCTGGTTACTAAATTTTCAGTGAGCATTTATGTTCATTCTGCTCAGAGCAGCTATCTAGCTGGAAAATGAATTTCACAGATGGTCCCTGGTTATGTGGGGAAGAAAAATAGGCAGCTTCCACCCAGATACTGAGATGCTACATTTAACCATCGCAATAAACACTTGGGGTTTGTAATTTAGAAGATACACTTAAAAAACTCAAAAATTCAATGTCTAACCAGACTAAAATGGTTATTTTTCAGTAATTGGGAAGGAGCAAGGCAGAATATAGGGGGGACAAAACCAATTAGGAATTTTTTTAAACTGTCAAATGCACTTAACAAGCAATCAGCCAAAATGACAATGGCAAAGCACTGTCTTAAAAACTCATCAGGCCTGAGGAACATTAAAAAGCATTACAGAAAATGTGCAGGGAATTCCCTCTTGGTTTTCTAACCCAGCAATGAGAGCAACCTAAAGCACAGATGCCATCTTCTTCTGCAGAATTCAACCCTCTACCCTCCCCCCTACCCCCCCAACTCAGGACAACAAAAAAATGGGCTCCCACAAAAGGGCCTAATACCTTACTTTTTCTTTGAAGATGAAAAATAGCTCAAGTATCCTCAACATGCAAGAAGTTGGGGGGGGGGAACTCTTCCAGTCGGCTATATATATATATGTTTTTACAAAATCTGTTATTACAGACTGGATCATTTTGGCGGACAGAAGAAACCTGGCAGTGAAGTCTAACTAATCTGCATGAAAGACAAATCACAATGGTTGGGGAAAAAAAAAAAGAAAAAAGAAAGAAAAGGGGAGGAGGAAAAAAAGGGGAAGAGAGCGTTCCTTTAAATGTAGTAAGTCTGCACAAGTCACTACCACTCGAGTGGTTTCATTTACGTGAAGGAGGAGGGGGGGGAGGAGGAGGGGGGTATTGGTAGGCGGTCTGCCCCATGTAACCTATCATATTGGTGGCTCCCGGAGGCTGTGCAAACTGTTGTGACATCAGTGGCTGTGGCTGCTGCCCAGACCGGCCTATCCCACTAAACTGCTGGCTAGAGCTCTGTGAACTTCTCCCGGCTGAGCTGGTGCTACTGGCCCCGTAAGTGCCGGCGCCATATTCCTGGGCTGTATAGCCACTGGTGCCATAAGCAGCTGCCCCGTAGGTGCCTTGACCGTAGGTGTATTGGCCTGCTTGTGCTCCAAAGGCAGAATTTGGGCTTCCATAGCCACTGCCGTTAGCATAACCGGCTCTATCGGTTTCACTACGATCCCGATAGCTCGCAGAGTCTCTCCGGCCACCATCCTTGACTCCTCGAAGCCTCCGGTCACACTCATCCTGATACATCAGATTGGGATTGTTGGCTGAAGAAGTGGTCCGGTATCGAGAACGACCTCCTGAGGGGAGGACACGAGGTATTTTTAATGCCAGATACAGAATCCAAACATAACCAGATGTAAAAAGCCGTATGAGGCACGGAAGTATTCAACCTTCTTTCTGGACCTTTAGCTAGGCCAGCCTCCAAATCAGTTACTTTAAAACTTATACCCATAATCTGATTCCTTAACAGGACATTCTCAGAAGAATGGTGAACAGTCAAGGTCATTCAACTTCTCCCTTTGAGAATTTACCAAGAAACACAATCTTCAAAATAAAGCAACAATGTAAAGAAGTTTAGGTGACTTACCACAGGTTAAAAAACAAAGACAAGCCCCTAAAGTTTGGACCACCCTACCCGGACCCTCTACTAGTACACAGTGCTTCTCAGACGTTGCTTTGTGGACCTAACTTCATCGGAATTACCTCACAAGCTTGGGGATCCTACGCCCAATTCCAAACCCACTTAAAAAACAAAACCTTGTTATTTAAGAAACTTCTCAGGTAATTTTAACAGCTTCAGCATGCAGTAAGTTTGGGACAAAGTAATACCAAAGTGGTAGTCAAGAAGCTCCGATCCTAGAATATTTTGCAACTATCCAATTTTCAGATCCATTAACTACGCCTAAGACCATAAAATGGTGTAAAATTACTATCTCTTAACCTGAAAAACTGAAAACCTAATATACACTGAGGCCTTTGAAGGTATTAAAAGCAACTGGAATTCAGCTTAATTCTGAACATGCACCATGTACTTCAAAACACAAAGGTCAGTTTTATTATTACCATCTATGGAAATAATGGGATGCAAAAGGAGGACAATGACAGCCCCCCCCGCCAATGGTCTTACTTAGAAGAGATCATGAAAAACTACTAATCACTGCCCCCGTTATTAAGCAACATACTCAAAAGCCTTCACAGGACTTGGGGGGGGGGGGGAGGCACAATGAGCACAAAAAGATACCTTGGCAGTACCTGGAGAACTCCAGGACTTACCCTTACCCCCTCCTCCGCCGCCTCCTCTGTGGTCCACCAACTGCATCAGTTTTGGATTGATAGCCTGATTAGCCTCTTCCAGCACTTTGATCAGCTCTCTGGCCTGCTTTAGGTTCCCTGGGGTGAAGAAGGTGTAGGCGGTGCCCTTGTTGGTGCTACGGGCTGTTCGGCCAATACGGTGCACATAATCCTCTGAGCTGTTTGGATAGTCATAGTTGATCACAAACTTGACATCTTCCACATCTTCAAAGCCAACGGTGAGTCAGTTGGTAGGGTGATGTGGCAGGGAAAGAGAAGGTAAAGGACATGCCAACAACAGGTGGGAAGCACGAATGCAGATGACAGCAAGAGGAAAGAAAATTAAGTTAGTAACCACTCTGAACAGGAACAAAAAAAGACTTATCCCAACAGAGTAAAAGAGGATTAATGATTCTTGGGACATGCACAGGAAGTGGCATCTTTATCAGCTGTAAAATCCTAAGGGAATCCCATCCAACCATCCAAACTCCTGCCTCTTCTTTATTTTAATCAATATACCGGCAGGAACCGTCTCGAATTCCAGTTCCTTTTCAAAACTGGAAATGTAGAAGGTAAGTGGTACCACTGATAAGGTACAAGGTCAAATTACTTCTACTCTGTTGGGAGAAGCCTGGCAAAATCTACCAGTAATATAACAAACTTACCTTTAAACCAGTCACAGAGCAAAATGAAAAAAGAAACTTCATATACTTTATTACTACATTTTCAAGGAAACTTAATTGAAATACTTAGATTAAAAAATGTTTGCTCTCATACTTAAAAAAACTCATCAGAGCCAAAGTTAAGTACACACCTATTTTCCTTTGCAGAATCATCCAAATTATCTTTCCCCTTTCAATTACCGCAAGAGCACATTACACTAAAATTTCACTGTACTACCAAGCCCAGCTCTGCCAAATGAGGTTTGTTTTTTTTTTTTGCTCAACTCAAGGTTATTTCAACTCAGTACTTGCTTCAATATTGAAGATTGTCTACATAACCTGGGAAATTAAATAGCCAAAGAGGGTGGGAAAAACCATGAAACCTTGAGACACAGTTTAATGTTCTATCCACTGCTGGGAATTGGGTTGAATAAACCTCCTAATGCTTAAAGTATGTAAATGTTAGTGTAATGCTTTCAGCTAAATGTATATTTTTACCTACTTAAACAAACAAATCTAATATAACAAAGAATCCTAATGTTTTGTGGAAAAAAATCTGCATTTTACAAAGAATATTCAGAAAATATCCTAGATAAAACACAGATTTTTGTGATATAAATAATTAAAAAACATTCTCTGTTTGTTACCAGACCGATGCACACTCCCTCCTCCTTTGGGAAACCGCTGCAGCCGATCCCGTCTCTTTGCCTTTTATTTTTGGCGGCCTCCTTTCGAAAACTCCGCCTTCTGACACGGGACCACTGGAGCGCGGGGAGCATGCATCAAGGGTCCGTGGCAGTGAGAAGTCCCCACACACGCTCGCTCTGTGAACTGGCTTAGATGCTTCTCTGTAGCCCCATTTGGTTGCCAAGCGCCGGAGAACCTGGGTTCGGGTAAAAATTTCAGGTCCTCCAACGCCTCCCCCAAGGATAATTGGGGTGATTGTAGAAAAAAATAATTAATAAAAAAATGTAAGTTACATCCAAAGGGTCAGACTGCATCTATTGCCCAGACTGGATTAATTTCAGGGGAAAGGGGAGATGATTAAAAAAAAAAAAAATTCAGCTGTTATAAAGGGCCTGTGAAGAAAGGGGCATTATGTCTGTTTCTTATTACAATAAAGGCTCCTCAGTCTTTACTGACCCCTAAAGTCCTGAAATCACACCAGAAAGACGAGAAGGCAGTTATCACAGGGGGCAGCGTGAGTCTCCGGCTAGAGTCGTTGATGTAACAAAGGAAAAACAAAAATGTACAGGGCCAGGATGGATGGAAGGTGGGGGGATGGGAAATTATGCTCCACGGCCACATCTTCAGAGCTAAGATAATGCTCCTTAGTCAGTCCCATGGTGTCTGACCACAGGCGGCAGAGCAAGCTGAGAGACTGCACTGAATGCACAGAAGTGTGCTTTCCTAGCAGAAAGCACTGGGGACTGGAGTCAACAGCTCAGAAACTAAGACTTGGGAATATTTCTGGAGGGGTTCAATAGGGAACAGACACGGTGCCAGTTCTTCATACTAGAAAGATGTCCTGTGTGTATACACAGAGAGCTGGCTGAGGGCACACAGGAGCAAGCGCAGAATTTGTTTTCTCCAGTCAAGCTTGCCCTGATGTTATCTGCGCACTGCCACAATATTATCTTGCTGCCTTTAGAGAAGATGCTGTAGCAGGGTAAGAAATTGAAAAGTTAGTGTTTTGGCCAGCTGCCTAGGATAACAACTTTTTGTCTGACAAGCCCTAGGACATGGCCTGAATATCCAATCACTAATTGGGAAGGACTGAAACTAGCCAATAGGCTCATCTAGAGCTGCTTCGGGCCAATGTAGATTTGCCTCGGCCATGTACTGAGTGATCTGCAGCTGATATCAAAGCTTCTGTTAAAAAACAAAACAAAATAAATTCAATACTTTTATTTTCACAGTGTGTAGTTTAAACAAAAAAAAGGAAAAATTAAAACTATCCCAGTGGAAAGGGAATAGTGGCTTCCTGAGGATGACTATCATAAAACTATGGGAAGTGAAGAACTTACCTGAAGGGAACATTTAAGAGGCCATCGCTCGACAGGAAGTGAAAAAAGGCCTGGTGACTCAGCTGAAAATTGCACCCCTGTCTGTGAGGTAGAAGCCTTCACTTTCCAGGATCTTGTAGGACCTTGGTCAGCATTCTGCCATTTTGGTGGGTTTTCCCCCTCCTTTTGATTTTTACAAGGCAGCAAACAAAGGGGCCCAAAACAAGCACTGATGCTGAGTAACAAGAAACAGACTCAGGTACCTTCCCTCTCCCCTCACTTGGATGAGTGGGGGTGGGATGAAGAGTCTAAATTATTCTAATGGTAGCCAATTGATTTGGTTTAGAAATGCAGGGGGAAAAGGAACAAATATTTTTAATTGTCTAGGCAAGATGCACAAAGAAGCTACCAGCACATAGCAAGCCTGTTTAAAAACCACCATCACTGAAAGCTTTTGTGTAAACTGCTTTCAGGCCGCAGCCTCTTCTCCCAACAGGCCCGAGTTCTAACCGCACAGATCCAGACATGACCTCAGAGGGCACAGACAAGTTTCAGTCATGGCTGCAGGTCACCACCTCTGAAGGAGGGAATGATGAGTGCAATGTATAGAAAGCCTTCATTCTTTTGTATTCCAGCTGAACACTTATCCTCTTTATGTTAAGTATTACAAGGGAATATGGCACTTCTCACCTTACTGGGCAAGAAATTAAATACCTGTCAATAATTTTAAAATATCTTTGTAATAGAGAAAATGTCATCTTTTTCTAATATAAAGTTTTGAATTATACCTGTTTACCTCAGAATAACGGGATAAAGTACCACAAAATGGTTCTATAAATCTCAAATCATAATGGGTGGAAAGCTCCAGAAGAACATGAGCTTCAAATGAAGTTCTTAAATTGGAAAACAGCACATGGATGATAGGAACATGGGTGGGAAGAGGGGATAGCTGAGTGTCCATGATAATTTTATGCCAATAAATAAAATCGGGCAGTGCAGATTTAATTGCTGAATAACATATTTACAGACTTATTAAATCCCAAGGATATATTACGTTAGCATTTATGGAATTGGACTTCCACATACATATCTAGTACAGATAGACTGGTATAGGGAGAACAACAACTGCAGACTCTAGCATCTAATAGCTAGGTTTAATCAGGCTCATTCTATCCAGCCAGAATGCAGAATAAAACCAGGAAGAGGCTGAGCTGTCCGACTGAGTGTCTCCTGTCCCTCTAACTGAATAGTCATGCCTAGGCCTTGCTGCAGACCAAAGCCTGTTTGTCAGGAGCAGGAAGAGACTTTGAAAATAAAAGGAAAAAAACAAAACAAAACAAAACAAAAAAAACCAAGGTTAAAAAAAGTTGTGAGGGGGAAAAAGTCACACTTTGTATTCTTCTCTTTTAAATATCTATCTAACCACATGTATATACAACTCTAATTTGAAATGACAAACAAATCTTTAAACCAAAAGATACATATACCATTGACAGAGACACCTATCTATACAAACCTAGCCCACGGGAGGCTACATCTGTGGCAATGAGGATGGGAGCCTTTCCCGAACGGAACTCTGTAAAACAAGCACAGGAGAAGGGAATGATGAGTGCAGTGCAATGTATAGAAAGCCTTCATTCTTTTGTATTCTGTCATCCTCTAAAACAGGCTTGCTATGTGCTGGTAGCTTCTTTGTGCATCTTGCCTAGACAATTAAAAGGCCAAGTTGAAGCCAACTTGAAAGCCAAGTTATACAATCGAAGCTAAGTGATTATCTTTATAAAATGACCATACAGGGCGCCTGGGTGGCTCAGTTGGTTAAGTGACTGCCTTCAGCTCAGATCATGATCCTGGAGTCCCTGGATCAAGTCCCGCATCGGGCTCCCTGCTCAGCAAGGAACCTGCTTCTCCCTGACCCTCCCCCCTCTCATGTGCTCTCTCTCGTTCTGTCTCAAAAAAAAAAAAAAAAGAAGACCATACAAACATTCCTAGCTATCTAATCTTTTTATTTTAGCATGTTAAACTTCAAATAATGATGTCAGAACATGCCAAACTCTTTTAAAAATTCAAGAAAAATAATACTTCTTTGAAAATAAAATCTTTATTATACTTTTAGCAGAGAAACAAGAGACAAAAACTACCTTTAATAATGAAATACTATTAAAACTGTGTAGCAATTTGTAACAAAATTAAAATGAGCTAGAATTTTCCCCCCTTAAATTATGACACCAAAGTTATCTTCCAAATGAAATAAAACCAAAAGTAGGGGTCAGGGGAGGAAGCAAGTTTAAAGATGTGAAATCAAAGGAGAAGTGCTACTTTCCTCTGTGAAATAACAGAAATTATGTATATTAGTCTCTGCCCCCAAGTCCTGGCCCTGAGTTCCTAAAACCCTTTGTACACAGAGATGCTAGGGGAATCTTTTATTCCTAGTCTTTGACCTTGCCTGGTTCCTGACACAGAGACCCCAAGTCCCTCAGAACTTCCTGAGTGATGGGAGTATCTTTTGTGCTGAGGCACTACTTGGTGGAATCCCGGAGAGCTTGAGGATGGGGGCTCGTCACCAGAAAGACCAAGCCATGATTGTAAGAGCTTGGAACATCTTGGGCATCTGCCTTTGGCTCAGGTCATGATCCCAGGGTCCTGGGATCGAGCCCCACATCAGGCTCCCTGCTCCACGGGAAGCCTGCTTCTCCCTCTTCCACTCCCCCTGCTTGTGTTCCCTCTCTCGCTGTGTCTCTCTCTGCCAAATAAATAAAATCTTAAAAAAAAATCCCAAAAGTAGGGGCGCCTGGGTGGCGTAGTCCATTGAGTGTCCAACTCTTGGTTTTGGCTTGGGTCGTGATCTCAGGGTCGTGAGACTGAGCCCTGCATAGGACTCTAAGCTCAGCACAGAGTCAGCTTGAGATTCTCTCTCCCTCTCACTCCCCCTGCTCGCCTGCTCTAAAATAAATCTTAAAAAACAAAAACACCTCCAAAAGCACAGAGTTTGGCGAGCTCTCCAGGCTGATGAACATTAGATCAGAACGTTAACAAGGACAAGATCTTATTAAATACAGGAAGGGTGGTCTAAGTTATGAAAAATAGTTTAAATAGGCAGCATTATGGACCTTCAAGGACAGTAGAGATATGCTAAAAAATGCCCCTAATACTCAATTACAGAGAGCATAGTTAGGCAAACTCTGACCTATGGATCAAATCTGGCAATATTTATTTTTATTATTTTACTTCAACACAGCAAGGCTTTCTTTACATATTGCCTATGACCATCTTTTTCTGCTACAACATCAAAGCCGAACTACTGTGACATAACCACCGTACAGTCTGCAAAGCAGAAAACATGAACTTTTTTAAAAAAAAAGATTTTATTTATTCATTTGAGACAGAAAGACAGACGAGAGAGCATGAGCAGGGGAGAAAGGCAGAGGGAGAAGACTCCCCGCTGACCTGGGAGCCTGATGCGGGGCTCGATCCCAGGACCCCAGGATCACGACGTGAGCTGAAGGGAGATGCCTAACCATCTGAGCCACCCAGGCACCCCGAAAATATTTACTTCTTGACCCTTTACAGAAAGTCTGCCCATCCCTAAAACAGTATGGACAATGTTTAGTTTTGAACTCACCATTAAGTACCCAATCTCTTTCTGGTTGACTCTTATCTCCATGGATACACATAGCTGGCCAACTGTCAGAAGAAAAGTGACCAATATTTCAGAAATCTTTAAAAGAGTAAAACTAAACTTTAAAAAGAAGAGCTACCACACGGAATTGTGAAGGTTTATTAAGCTACGTGAATAGATGACTGTGTCCATCCAAAGAGCAAAGTGCATGACAGGTATTACTGAAATAGTAATACAACATTCATTATACCAATTCAGAAATTCCTACTGAACTATAAATATACAACCTGTGGCTAATTACCTCCGTGCAGTACTCACCCATCTCTGCGCATCCTTCGAGTGAGGTCATCACATCGTCTCTTTGTCTCTACAAATATTATTGTCTTATTTTCTTTCTCAGCCATTATTTCCTCCATGAGTTGGATCAACCTGAAAACAAGACCAGCAAAAACGCACGCATTCAGAGTAGACCTCCCTATACATCATGTAGAAGCTATGTCTACAATATCAACTCCCCAAAACTACAGTACTTTCTTTTCACATTTTCTATACAGCCAATAACTATTCGAGCTGGGATTTAATTCTAAGGCTCCAGAATCCTTCCTTGTAACCACAATGCTCTGGAAAATGAGATAAAGAATGGATAGTTGGAAAGCTGGTAATGCTTTTAATGTTCTGGGGCCTCAAAAAATTTCAGACTTCTTCAATGCTTTAACTCTGGGAGGATTATTAGGAAAGGTTTAACAGCATTATCAAAACAGTAAAATCTCTCTTACTTGTGGTCTTTTTCACTTTCCATGCAGACATCCACAATCTGGAGGATGTTGTGGTTGGCACTCAACTCCAGATTGCCCACGTTGATCTGGGTGTAATCACGAAGGAAATCCTCTGCAAGCTGTCTTACTTCTTTTGGCCAGGTTGCGCTCCACATCAATGTCTGCCTATCAGGCTACCAGGAAAAGAAAGGCTTTCTTTTAAGCTAAGGAACCATGACAGGCAATGAGCATAAAGACAGGGTATCATCAGTTTTACACACCCTGATTTGGTCCACAATTTTACGGATCTGAGGTTCGAAGCCCATATCAAGCATCCTGTCCGCCTCATCCAATACAAGGTAAGTACATCGGCGAAGATTTGTCTTTCCTGACTCCAGGAAATCTATCAGGCGCCCAGGAGTAGCTATACAGATCTCAACACCTGTAAAACAAAACCAAAGATGTAGCCAATTAAGAAGTCTCTATATACACTGTCCAAGCCTCAGTATACTAAGAAGCACCAGCTCTGGTGGTTGCATTCGATACTGCAGAGCACTAGCTAAATCTTAACATAATACTTGGAAAAGCATGACGTAAAGAGATTTATGTATAATCATCCAATCTCCACCAAATTTAAGTCTCTGTGTTAAACATTCCTTTAATAGCAGTTTAACCATACCTGAGAATTTCTAAGCTCCTGAAATACTGATTTTTTTCCCAATAAGAACCCACTATTTCCCTCTCCAACTTCATTCATAAAAATTGGTAAAATGAGAAAAATTATTAATTCTTACGTTTTTGTTTTTTTAAATTACCTCTCTCCAAATCTCGAATCTGAGGACCTTTAGGAGCCCCTCCATAAATGCAAGTACTCTTCAATCTAGAACATTTGCCATAGTCATCAGCCACCTGCTGTACTTGCTGGGCAAGCTCTCTGGTAGGAGCCAGAACTAGACACTGAAACAAACACACATGTTTAAGACACCTATCCCAAGTTAAAAAAGAAAAAAAAAACAAAAAGGTTATCTAAATTCTTTTTCTATTGTCTAACCTGTTACTTTAAAATTATATGAGGGGGTGGGGAAGGCAGAGAGTTTAAGACAGTACACTGGAGTGTGGCAAAAAACAGAGTATTTAGCATGTGAACTGATGGGTCTTTTTTTTTTTTTTTAAAGATTTTATTTATCTATGAGAGAGAGAGCGCGCGCACATGAGAGGGGGAGGGTCAGAGGGAGCAGCAGACTCCCTGCCGAGCAGGGAGCCCGATGTGAGACTCGATCCAGGGACTCCAGGATCATGACCTGAGCCGAAGGCAGTCGCTCAACCAACTGAGCTACCCAGGCACCCAGGTTTTGATACACGATTCATTCATTATAGTCTGTGTGCTATTTAAGTGGATTTACAGATTGCATTACCTAGGGGTTTTTTTGTTGTTTTTTAAAAGATTTTATTTATTTATTTGAGAGAGAGAGAGAGCATGAGAGAGGGGAGGGTCAGAGGGAGAAAGCAGACTCCCTGCTAGGCAGGGAGCCCAATGTGGGACTTGATCCTGGGACTCCAGGATCATGACCTGAGCCGAAGGCAGTCGCTTAACCAACTGAGCCACCCAGGCTCCCCAGCATTACCTAGTTTTAACTAAACAACTCTCACAAAATGAACAAGTAGCTTTAACCATGGATCAAATATTAAGAAAAAACCAAATGAATAAGGAAATAGCAAAGCAGACACTTTTCTGACTTCTAGTTTAAGCTTTTAGCCAGACACATTAGGCAAAAACAATGACTTATACACAATCAAAACAACAAAAAATTAAAACTCTTTGAAATAGGTTATCATATACACTGTTAACAACACATCCTGGTCTGTGTACAGATCCGTGAGATATTAGCTAACAATAATGAAGCTAATTCTATTAGCCATATGGAATATATTTCATACTGCAAAGTAACGTATTATTCTTTCTGTGAATATTTTGAGACACACTGTAATAATGTACCTATCTGTAAAAACACAGCAAATGCAAGCTCAATTTTTTTTTAAGATTTTAAGTAATCTCTACACCCATCATGGGGTTCCAACTCACAACCCTGAGCTCAAAAGCTGCATACTCTATTGAGCCAGTCAGGCACCCCTTGATTTTTAAAAAACAGGTTAAGAATATATTAAAAATGTTTCATAACCACTACGCACATTTTATAGAAAGTAGCGTTAAAAGTGAAAATAATCAAACCAGAAAACCATACTGCCCTTTGTTAAACATTTACAAAAGTATTACTTAACCACAAAGAATACACATCCTAAATCTGACTTACATACACATGGCAGGGACATCATTTCATACTTCCTTATTCCTCACAGCATCATCAAGCAATTCAAAACTGTATCTGAATTTACTGCAGAGTAAATGCAGTAGTATGAAATAATATGAAGGCAGTACTCATAGTGGTTAAGAGTAAGACTAGTTCAAATTCAAACTCAGCCACTTAACAGCTGTATGACTTTGGACCAGTCATTTAATAGCACTGTTACCAAAATTTTATCAGTAAGATGAGGATAACATCATTTCTACATATGGAGGGTGGGTTTGAGAATGAAATCTGAAATCACATGCAAAGCACAGTGCCTGAAACACAGTTATCTTTAAGTTGTGGTTATTTTTAGAATTATAAACACACTTACGATCGGGCCATCTCCCCTTTCCAGGTACGGCTGATGGTTAATATGGACAATTGCAGGCAGCAAATACTGGGGGGGGGGGGGGGGGGGGAGGGGAGAAAGAACAACAGTCTTATTCCAAAACTAAGCCATTATCCTAAATTATCACAGTTAATTGATAATGCCTAACCACAGAAGTGAAAACAGAACTCATAACTGTTACACATTTTGTGCAATGTAAATTAGAACACAAAATACTCGCAAACATTTCCCATAGCTAAGAAACCTGAAATATTACCTACACTATCTGAATTACAATTTTCTAAGAATTAAGAATTAACAGGATAATCAAAATAGCAAAGTAAGTTACCACAATGTTAACATTCCCTTGCTGGTACGTACCGCCAGCGTCTTCCCAGAGCCAGTCTGAGCGATGCCCACCATATCTCGGCCACTGAGAGCCAAGGGAAATCCCTGGCACTGAATCGGAGTTGGTTCTGTAAAGTGCTGATCCATCAACACATCCATTACATATTCTGTTAGGGAATAGAGGTCAGTGCTTTTAGGTAAAACTAAGGACACAGCCAACAGAATTCTTTTTTTTTTTTTTTAAGATTTTATTTATTTGAGAGAGAGCGAGCCAGCCAGAGAGAGAGCACAAGTGGAGGGGAGGGGCAGAGGGAGAAGCAGACTCCCCACTGAGCAGGGAGCCCGATGTGGGACTCAATCCCAGGACCCTGGGATCACGACCCGAGCCGAAGGCATGCGCTTAACCAACTGAGCCACCCAGGCACCCCACAGCCAACAGAATTCTAAAACTGTTCAACTCATTGAAAGATTTACCCAGCTTCGTATCTCTCCAAGAGAAGTGCTGTTTCTTTCTTTAGTTACTGAATCTCTGACCTGCTGACTACTACCTCTCAGAAGACTGTTGCCTTAGCTATCTACCCTTCCCTTCAATACTTTAAAACCACTGCCCAAAAGTCTCTAACAGAGCATGGACATATGGTTGTTAGTCACATATTGTTTGCCAAGTTATACCCGGCTAGAACATAATTTCATTCTGTTTTCTAAAAGGTAGAGGCAAAACTAGGGGAAGATGAAAAACTCAAAGTTTTAAAACGAAGAACAGATAAGCATAAAAAATCTCTCATGCAACAATACAGCATTTACTTCCAGCCTTGAAGTTAATATTACTTTTTTAAGACTTTATTTGACAGAGACAGCGAGAGGAAACACAAGGAGGGGGAGTGGGAGAGGGAGAAGCAGGCTCCCCACTGAGCAGAGAGCCTGATGCGGGGCTCGATCCCAGGACCCTGGGATCATGACCTGAGCGAAAGGCAGACGCTTAACGATTGAGCCACCCAGGCGCCCCTGATATTACCACCTTTGTGAAAGGTTTCTACTTGCCTCTTCAACAAAATACTGAGCCTGAATCAAAACCTTTAAATAAGCCATTACCCATGTTTACCATTCAATAAAATTTAACAATTACAATCCTGGTTTGAAGAACACTTACGTGGGAAGTTAGCATGATGGAAGGCAAATACAGGTTTAGGACAAACATCTCCCCCCCTCACTGTAATTTCCTTCTTTCGGCGTAGTTCATCAACCTCATACTATGGAAGAAAAAGTAAAAAAACGAGTAAATTATTCTAAACATGCAAAACTTTATGTTCCAGTCAAGCTGAACAATGATCTAATCTACATTTACACTGGAAAATTACGTTTAATAACAGTTCTGATAGTGCTTTCATATATATTTAACTTCAACCAATTTGTAAGGATCCTCCCAACTTCTTGAGTCAATGAAGCAAGTGATAAGAGTTCTATTTTGCCCATGAGAAAACAGATACTCAGAAATATTAAAAGTAATTTGCCCAAGGTCAGAACTAGGAAGAGGGAGAAATAGTGGAACTTGGGACCAAGTGCTCTTGCCATCATACCTTTTTTTGAATGAGTAACCATTTCATGAGTCCAAAATCATCACAATGAGATTAAAAAAAAAGAGAAGTATATTATGCCAATGTTTTATTTTTTTTGAAAGATTTTATCTATTCAACAGAGAGAGAGCACGAGAAGGGGAGAGGGGGCAGAAAGAGAGGGAGAAGCAGGCTCAGGGAGCCTGACACGAGGCTCGATCCCAGGACCCTGGGATCATGACCTAAGCCGAAGGAAGACGCTTAACCAACTGAGCCACCTAGGCGCCCCTATGCCAATGTTTTAAACTTAACTTCGTAGATGAAAGGACGTGAACCTCATATACAGTTAAAATCTCATACATGACAAATTGGGAAGCATAGCCAATAAATGAGAACCAACAATAGATTAGGTATATATTTAAACTATTTCCTCCTTTGAGTACCAGTAATCTTACAAAGAATCTAACGAAATACCACACAAGAATAAAACATCTAACAGCTGTAAAGCCTGCCTAGTATGTCAACTCGGTCATTACTGTGTATAGAAAAAAAGGTAAATCAATCAATCAATCCCCAAAACTTACTGGAGTCAGCCTTGCCACTTCTGGATGCTCTACATAAAAATTCTTCTCAAACTTGGGGAGCTCACTCAAATCCCATTTCTTTTTACGTAAACGCTCCCCAGGATTACCAAATTTCTTCGGGGGAAGGCCACCACCACCTCTTGCACCAAATCTAGAAACATAAAAATTTTTAGTTTATTAGTATTTTAAAAGCAATATACCTTAGGTGGCATAAAAACAAGCAAAAGATTTTCTCTTAGGATACCACCAGCCCCCTCCAAAGAGTAATTTTTTTATTCTCATTCAAAGGTATGGAGAAAATGTTTGTAAAACTTCCGTTACTATCCAGTAATTGTTACAGGTATGATTACAATAGGTGAAAAATTAAAAACTCCTATGTTTAGAAAAATATAGGGATTACAACCAGATTCTGGAATGACTGAAAAGGTGTTAATTTTTATTTTGCCTCTTAGGGATGATTTTGAACAATTTAACTTCTCTGTACCCATTTCTTATGTAGACATACTACTACCACTTATTTCAGAGACTGAGATGAAGTGCTTAAGAAAGTATCTGGCATAGTAAGCGCTCAGTACAAGTTAGCATAACTGTATTCATTCAATGTTACTGTAGTAACTGTAGTAACCGTAGTTACTGTACCAGGTACTGTTTTTAGTGGTGATGAAGACATAAACTGAAAAAAAAAAAAAAAACAAAAAAAAAACAGAAGTCTCTATTCCTGTGTAATATTCAGACGTGTAGGCAAGGGAAGACATTAGTTCATGTTTAAAGGCAACAGTGTGGACAGGTAAAAAAATATACTTCAAGCCAAGCTGCTCCACACTTGGAACAGTTTGTTGAACCTTTATCTAGATTGTGTGATAAGCATTCCTATTATCTGCTAATAAGGAAAACTAGGGCCCCTCTAAGACTAGGAGGCTACTCTTCACCTTTAGTTTAGGCTAATGAATAGCCGAGAACTGACTTATGACCTCTTCATCTCCACCTTTACTTTCTGTTCCCAGGGAACTATATTAACTATAAATTTACCCCAAAAATATTAGTCTTATTTAAGGTTTTACTTAAGTTCATTCTTTTTAGTAATCTCTACACCAAACGTGGGGTTCAACCTCAAGATCAAGAGTCACCTGCTCCACTGAGCCTGCCAGGCACCCCTTATTTAAGGTTTAAAAAACTCAAACAAATTTAAAGCCAACCTTTGTTTTATCTAACATTCCTAACGGACAAGTTCAATTGGAATACAAATGACCACTAAGCGAACTTGCAATTTTCTAACTTTTCCTAGAACATGAAGATGGTCTTCATTTTTTGTATTTCAACCTATTAAGTGTAGGGCATTGTTTTGTATACAAGTATACACTTACACTGTTTTCATTCCGTTTCCTTACTCCCGAATTTGAATTTAACTTCCCTTTTCCACTCTAACCCACTCGTAACATCATCTTGCAGATGGTTCCACTTTATAATTGACTGGCAGTTGCTGTATTATTTTAAAGGACCTCAATTTCCTGGAATTCAAAGTGATTCTAAAACTTACTCAGCTAGACATTTCTCTAAATACAAACATACAAAGACTGATGGTGGGAAATTTTCTTGGGACTACTGAGCATCTACACTCAACAGGTACAACTTGATGGATTCCATTTATACTACTTAACGGGTAAGAGAGATCAGGAATCAAAACAGAAGCAAAGAAATATACATATATTGAAGATACAGTATCAATGACATCTTCACCTTGCCCTCAGGCCCAAAGCTCAATACTGAATAGCAGACAATCAAAGACCACCTGGATCAACCCCCCCCTTTACAAATGATGCAACTGACACAGATCTAAATAGGTAAGCCAAATCTTTAGATTGTCAGCTTAGTTTGTAAAAATGTATGTGGTTCCTAGAAGGTGCTGTTTCAATGCTGCTCCTGCACTCCAAGGCTACCCAAACCTTAAACTAATGATCTACAAGAAAACAGAACTCTGGGGGGCGCCTGCCTTTGGCTCAGGTCATGATCCCAGGTTCCTGGGATCGAGCCCCACATTGGGCTCCCTGCTCGGCGGGAAGCCTGCTTCTCCCTGTCCCACTCCCCCTGCTTGTGTTCCCTCTCTCACTGTGTCTCTGTCAAATAAAATCTTTAAAAAAAAAAAGAAAAAAGAAAACACAACTCTGGAAAGTAACATTCCTTTTAAGGCTTATTCAACAGAAGAGGTTTTTCCCATCTCCCTATTGCCTTGATTATTTAACCAAGACGTATCATTCTACACTACAGATATTTGAAACATGGGGTTCTTTAAAAATATGCTGTCTCCCACCATAATTAAAGCTTACCTCAATATTCAAGATAGCCTTTTACAGAATTTTTGAGCACATTCTTGCCATCCTTCAAAGATGCACATATCCTAATCCCTGGCATACTATACTGCTCATTAGATATTTTGACTGCTTTGCAATAAATGCAGCTCTGAAGATTCATATATTAACCATGCAACATCATGCTAGTTTAAATGTACACAGCACATCACTTTTGGATTTTCCATGTACACACACAGACCTTTCATTCCCTTTTCAAAATAATAATCCATTTCAGCTCTGTAACATTAATATAGCAATTCAAATCATAAATGAAATTTCATGGCAAATGTAGAATTAGGACACAGATCTTATGAAAAAGTGCCATTGTTTGAAAAGAAGTTTTTCAAGCTTTAAAAAAAAAGTCATCTGATAGTCAATATGGGGGTAAAGTATGGATCAGTAATTCACTTTTCAAATAATTTATTTTTATTGTTAAAACATATATATGGTGGGCGCCTGGGTGGCTCAGTTGGTTAAGCGACTGCCTTCAGCTCAGGTCATGATCCTGGAGTCCCTGGATCGAGTCCCGCATCGGGCTTCCTGCTCGGCAGGGAGTCTGCTTCTCCCTCTGACCCTCCCCTCTCTCCTGTGCTCTCTCTCATTCTCTCTCTCAAATAAAATCTTTAAAAAAAAAAACCAAAAAAAACCCCATATATATGGTTAAGTTATTCAACACCCACTGCGAAGAAATAAAACACTCAGTACCTTGGTAGCTCCCTGTGCCTATTTCAAGTTTACAAACCCTGGAACTATCACCTCCAATTTTGCTTTTTAGAGTCTCGTCCTATGTATCCTCATAGGTATTATCCTTTTACCATGACTTGCTTTTTCACTCCACATTTGTGAGTCATCCATGTTGATGCGTGTTTTCTTTTCACTGCTGTATTGTATTCTACTGTATGAACACCCACACTTTACCAGAGACGAGCAGTTCCCAATACTGTCACAAACAGTGCTGGTAAAAACATTTCTGTACATGAATGCTGGGGAACATGTACAAGGATTTCTCTAGGCTTTAGTGTATGGGGTATAAAGCTCAAGAGGAATTACTGGGTCATTTTCTACTAGGTAATGTCAAATTCTTTGTCTTAAGCGGTTGCACTGAAATTCACTTTTAAATACAGCTATACTGTGAAACACTGAGCAAACATTCCACTTCTAGCCCTCCAAATTTAACACTACGATCAAATATTTTCCTTCCTAACAAGGTATAAATAAAGTAATCCTTTTTACTTTGTAATTCAAGTGATAATTGAGGTGCTTGTGACTAGAAGATCTGGGACTTCTGTATCTGAACCACAAAAGACAAAAATGTTTGGAGAAAATACCATTAACAGAACACCTACTACAAAGAGACAATTTCACATAGTGTCTTAATTCCCAAGAACAATGCAAAGTAAAGGCAATTACTTATGCCCATCTTCAGTTGAGAAAACAGGCTCACAAAGGTCCAGGATCTTGCACAAAGTCACATATGTTAATAACTGGCGTTCCATTACTTTTTATCCAAAGATAAGACGTTTATTACAAAAAGTAACAGCACAAACGAACATGAATCTCTTGAGTAACTTTTTCCTTTAACTGATGTTAAGATTTCAATCTCAGTATCTGGGAAGACTTCAGGTTTAATCTTGTTAACTTCCAACCGTGGCATTATCCCATCAAAAGCTTTCTAGTCAGGCCGAGAAAACTCTAATACCCCAGCCCAACTGGAGAAAAGGAGTATGGGGAGGAACCCTATAGCAAAAATAAAACAAAAAACCTCTCCCTCCTCAAATACGATCATTTAGATGGCAAACAATTCCACTGCTTTACTCTTCAGTGTCGTTACCTGAAATACGACTAAAGGGGACCTAAAGATATATTTAAAAAACGAGAAATCAGCCTTTTGGTCTCGTTAGTTTCCAGTTCTATTAACAGTGATCTCTGGCGACAGATAACGTAAGGGAAGCCATTTGGCGTCAAGATTTTCCCAGGCCGCATTCGAAGACCTCCTCCTCTTCTCAGCAGAACATCCGTGTTTTACAGATGAGCGCTGAGGCCTGGAGATCAAATGACTTGCCCAAATCCGCCGGGCTCGAAAGCCGGGCAGCGAGGCGAGGCCCGGCCGGGTCTGCGGCGCCTCGCGCTCCCCGCCACGACGGCGGTCCGCAAGGAGGGGCTGGGGCGTCGCCAGGCCGCCGCCCCCCAGCCGGGTCACCCGCGATCCCGGGGCGCAGGCCCACCCGCAGGCCCGCGCACCAAACCGCTATTAAGTCCCAGGACGCCTCGCCTCCCGGAATCGGGGGCGTCGCTCCCAGGCCCGCAGTCCGTTCCGGGTCTCCCGCTCGGCCGCAGGCTGCGGTCTCCTCAGGAAACCTCCCCCCCCACCCCCGGCCCACGCACACGCGAGGCCTTCCCTCTCCCCCTCCCCCCTTACCCTCCACGGTCACGATCCCGGTCCCGGTCCCCAAAGCCGCCTCCGCGCATGGTCCCAAACGGATAGAGATCTGGGAGCGGGGCACGGATGGCCGGGCTCGGGAGGGCCTGCGGCTCCGGTCTGGTGACGACCGATGGCGGCGGCGCCTCCGCTGTTGGGGCGGCGGCAGGCGCGGCGCTCTCTCGCTCCGACGCGCTGTCTCCCGTCGCAGACGCCACCGTCGCCGCCTCTCTCGTCGGAGACGGGAGCAAAACACAGAGAATCGGGGTTATAAAAACAGTGGGTAGGTTTGGCTACGCTCAAACCCGGCAGTGCCGTGGTTTAGGCGTCTCCTTCCTTCCCAGCGACTGCACAAAATGGCGGCCGGCGCTGAGACTGCTCCAGCTTAACGCTACGTACGTCGGAGACGATACGTAAACAGCGTCTTGGAATAGCCCGAGGGCTTGGCGGAGTACTAAGGGTATTCTTGGAAGCACTTTACGTCAGTTGCGCAGACGGGTACATTTTGCAGTCCGTAGAAGAAAAATAAAGTACGAAGCGGGCGTAGAATTCTCGCGCCACCTGAACTAGAACGTGGGGTGGGGTGAGGGGAAGAGCCTCCGGTGCGACGTAACATTCTTTGCGTCGTTACCCGGCCCACTATTGCGAAGATGCGCAGTGTGCGTAACGCATTCTGTTTGGAGAATAGAGGATTTTGCCGGTTCCGAACCCGAGACGGAACGCGGGCCTCCTTGTGCAAGTTGCTTTGCAGACACAATAACTGTCCTCCATGTTGTAGTCGTCAAGTGTCAGGGTCTTCAGGCATCTTAAGCCCGGGCAGGTCTTCAGGGTCCCTGGCTGGCGCCCCTAGATGGCCCTGCCGGCTCCCTGGACGCGCCAGCCTGGGCCTGCCGTCACTGGCCGCGCGCCCCGGCGCCATTTTCTTTCGGTTGCCTCTCGCTTCGCTGCCCCCGGCAGCCATGATGGATGCTCCTTGTCCGTTCTTTTCAGGAGGTGATCGGTTGACGACGTCCCGGTTAGGTTAAAGCACTCCCTACTGCACTTGGTTCACACTGAAGTGCATTTTCTGAGCAGAATATTTACACTATCCCCGGCTGAGCACAGCTGACTAACAACCAAAACGTGGGTAGAGCTCCTGTGGAGGGAGACACCTGGGTCCCTTGGTCGCCATTCCTCGGCGCTGCCCCAGGAGATCCTGGCTGGCCCGTAGCGCTCTCCCCAGACGAGAAGGGTTAAAAGGGTGGCCTCTACACACAGAAAAGGTGAAGGCATAAGCACGTGTTTTTAACCAGGCCAGACCGCGTTCCTCTTGATTCCGTCTGAGCTGGTTTCCGATGTCCTGCTTTCTTCTCCCCCAGACTGAACTTGACAGGCTCGCAAGCCTGGCTAGATAGCGTCACACAGTTGTCGAGCAGCTAAGGCCCTCGGAGAGCAGCTCTTCCGACTCCTCTTTTGTTGATTTCTTTTTTTTTTTTTTAAGATTTATTTATTTATTTATTTGAGAGAAAGAATGAGAGACAGAGAGCACGAGAGGGAAGAGGACAGAGGGAGAAGCAGACCCCCTGCCGAGCAGGGAGCCCGATGCGGGACTCGATCCCGGGACTCCAGGATCATGGCCTGAGCCGAAGGCAGTCGCTTAACCGACTGAGCCACCCAGGCGCCCTCTTTTGTTTATTTCTACAGATGGGTGCAAGGGGGGAGATTTGAGGTCCCTCACTGTGGGGGCCGAGTGTTGTCTCCTACTCTGTTGTGAATGTGTCCCAAATTATTACAAAAGGAGCACAAGGAAAGGAGCTTCGTGACAAGCCGTTCAGATGTCTCTGGGGCTGCAGTCGGAATCCCTGAACAGGTGTTGAACGCTGTATGGGCCAAGCACTGTGCTAGGGCCAACACATGGGTTCCTGCCCTCATGGCGTTTATACCCTAGTGGGGGAGATAGGACAATAAATCTTTATGTTGTTTAAATATTGCTAACTAAAATAGAAAAATAAAGCAGGGAAAGGGGATAGTGTTTCTGTGCCTGTGGGGGAGGGGAGTATAGGGGTGTCATAGTGTTACATGGGGTGCCCTGGGGGAAGGCCTCCCTAATCAAGTGACATTTGAGCAGAGCCCTAAAGGGAGGGAGCTAGCCTTGCTGGCACAGGAAAGAGCATGTGCAAAGGCCCGGAGGCAGAATGTGACTGGCTATAGCAAAGAGGAAAGACTGGAGAGGACCAGATTTGAAGGATTTGTAGGCTGCTGTAACACTTTGTCTTGTCTTTTCAGTAAAATGGAAATGTCTAGAAAGTTTTTAGAGTGACACAGTATAAGGACCCCTATGACTACCGTACAGAGAATGAATTGAGAGTGAGCTAGGGCAGAAGCAGGAAGATTGATTAGGAGGCTAGTGCAGTAGTTCAGGCAAGAGATGATGGGGCTTGGTACAGATTAATAGGAATGGGTAAAGAAGAAATGGTCTGAATGAAAATTTAGCCAACGATTTGCTGATGGGTGGGGTATGAAGGAAAGAAGACTCAAGGATAACCTTGTAGGAATGATACAACAATTAAGCTCCTATGATTTAGACTGTACAGGCACTGAAGGAATGATTTGGACTGTTTTGCCTATTTATCATACATGCTAAGCAATTCAATCTGAGGCTCTCTATATAACTAAATAATTTATAAAGTAAGGTAGGTCCACTGAAACCCTCCCTATGTTTTGCTGAGGGAAAATAATTCATATTTTGCTACTAGATAGGTCCCTATATTATAGAATCTCATAGCTCCTTTGTCTTCATAAAGCTTTTCACAGTATGTAATTATATATTTATGTCATTATTTGGTTAATACCACCTCAAAAAAAAAAGTGAACTTTTAGTTTTCCTATGGCAGACAAGTTTTTTATTATAAAGTGAATCCATAGTATGCATTTCTCATTCTTGATATATCTGTTTTCTTACCAAAGATGGTTGAAGCTTGTTACATTTTTTCTAAACACAGAGAAAGATTTTCATTAAATAGAGAGGTCAGAGAACCTAGGAATTTCATTAGTAATAGCCAAGACTGTTGGGAAAAAGGAAATATGCTTTGCTCACTTCATCTTTTTTTGAAACCTAAGCACTTACCATATGATCCAGTAATTATGCTCCTTGGTATTTACTGTAAGATTTGAAAACTTACATCCACACAAAAACCTGCACACGGATGTTTATAGGAGCTTTATTCATAATTGCCAAAACTTGGAAGCAACCAAGATGTCCTTCAGTAGGTGAACAGATAAACTGTGTTACGTCAGGGCAGAGGAATATTATTCAGCAAAAAAAAAAAAAAAAAGAAGAAGAAGAAGAAAAAAGAAATGAGCTATCAAGCCATAAAAAGACATTGACAAATCTTAACTGTGTATTACTAAGTGAAAGAAGCCAATCTAAAAAGGCTATATACTGTATGATTCTAACTACATAACATTCTGGAAAAGGCAAAACCATGAAGACAGTAAACAGATCAGTGATTGCCAGGGGTTAGCAAGAGGGAGGGATGAATAGATGGGGTACAGAGGATTTTTAGGACAGTGAAACTATTCTGTATGGTACCATGATGGAGAATACATATCATTACACATTTATCCAAACCCAGAGAATGTATAACATTAAGAATGAACCATAATGTAAACTATGGACTTCGGGTGATGATGACATGCCAATGTAGGTTCACCAATTGTAATGAATGTGGAAGTGTTGATAATAGCCCTGCATTGATGTGGGAAACAAAGGCAAAAGAAAAATTAAATTTCCTGACTACCTACAGCCCACTGACAAGTCCTTGAAACAGGCAGAGTGACATTCCTCTAGGAACTCAACGTATTAATACTTTGTTAATGGCAAAAGGCAATCTTAGCCCAATCCTCAGGATCCTGTAAGTCTACTTTAACATATAAAAACTCCTTTGGAAACTTCCTTTATCTCTACCCCCCAAGATACATGTTGGCGATCATCCCCCAAGCATAACACCCACCGATATACATCTGAAGGTTCTCATGACTAAGGTTTTCTTAGACAGTAATAAATGACCTTTTCCTAACAATAGCTAGCTCCCTCAAGGTCCTAGAAACCTTGTTTCCAAAATTCCTTAGAGACTTACACTATCCCGAACCTCCTCCCAACTTGAAAGTATATAATCGGCCGCTCCTCGCTACCCCAATGAAGCTCTTTCTGCCCACAGGTCCTGTCTCCGTGCTTTAATAAAACCACCTTTTTGCACCAAAGACATTTCAAGAATTCTTTCCTGGCCATCAGCTCTGAACCCCAACATCTTTCCTACATCATGCATGTGTGGGGCAGGAGGTATATAGGAAATCTCTGGACCTTCCTCTCAATTTTATTGTAAACTTAAAATTTCTCTAAAAAAAGTAAAGCCTTGGGCACCTGGGTGGCTCAGATGGTTAAAGCGTCTGCCTTCGGCTCAGATCATGATCCCAGCATCCTGGGATCGAGTCCCGCATCGGGCTCCCTGCTCCTTGGGAGCCTGCTTCTCCCTCTGCCTCTCTCTGTCTCTCATGAATAAATAAATAAAATCTTAAAAAAAATAAAAGTAAAGCCTTAAAAAAAGCCCTAAGAACTGATGGCTATTGTGTACTCATGCCCACTGTATCCTAGGCATGTGCTGTGAGCTTTATTTTATTCTCATCTGTAAATGAGATAATAGTACCTCATAGGATTTTAGAAGGAACAAATGAAAATACCACTCAGAGTGGTGCCTGGCACATAACACTCAATAAATGTTACCAGTCATCAGCTCTCCACTTTCTTGGATGAGAAAGCTGAGGCTTAGGAGGCTAAGTCATTCACCCAGGGTCACACAGCAATTGGCCTAGTTGGGACTCAAACTCAGGTGCTCTAGCTAGGTTTCACATGGTACTATTGACATTTGGGGTCAGATAATTTGTTGTGCAGCTTATCTTATGCGTTGTAAGATGTTAGCAGCGTTCTGGACTCTACCAACTACATGCCAATGGAATCTCCCCCCTCCTCCAAGTTGTGACAACAAAATGTCACAAAATGTCTCCTAGGGAACATTGAGAATGACTCTAATTGAGAACAGCTGCTCAAGAAGCCCTATGCTCTACTACCCCCCTGTGGGATCACAGGATGATTATCATTCTCTTTCAACTGTCAAGTTTTTCTGCAAATTTGGATTGCCTTCTGCACTCCACCTGCCAACAATACCAATGCCATTTTTCATTTTATCCGTTTTATTGTTATTATAGCAGTAAAATTTATATTCGAGACTCGGTTTCCAACCACTAAGAGAATTATTTCTTTTGTTTAGATTTTAAAGCCAGAGGTTTTTGTTTTTAAGCTACTTTTACTGTCAACCATCTATGCTAAGTTCTGTACCTACATTC